TAACCCCTTTGTAATAGAAGCGCCTAAATGTGGTAGCATTACTCCAACCTGCTCTTTGCAGAATTTCATCTACTGGAAGATCTGCTGCATAGGCTGCTGTTGCAGCCGCGTGTCGTGTAGAATGTGGTTTGAATAAAGTAATGTCAATACCAACCGGCTAAGACAATTTTAATCCATCGAGCTAAAATTTGAGATCCAATAGCACGATGCGGTTTTATCGTTGCAACGAGTAAATTGACACTTTGTCGTAAATGTTTAGTCTTCTCAAGATACGCTTCTAAACATAAATATGGGAAAACATCAGAATCCAAATTGTATCTAGGAACAATAACAGGTGGAACTGAATAATTTGGTCTGCTTTGTTTGATATGCTTATCAAGAACAAACACAAATTGAACATCTGATTGTATCATGCAGCCATTGTTAATATTGAGGTGTATTAAAGTTTGCTTCCGCTGAATAGTCACCAAAGCCAATAACATTGTTAATTTGTGACTAAGCTCTTTAAGACTTAAACCACTGTTAGGGGTGAACGTTTTCAGATAAGCCAAAACTGTTTGGACATCCCAGATAGCATGATGCTTATTAGCAGGTGGTTTCCGTTCAAATGCCCCTTTTGGAAACGACAAACTATTGGGTGCTTCCCCACTGGAAAGTTACCAATAGAAAGAAAACATGATAACGCTGATCTGGCACTGTTAATACTAGAATATGATAATGCAATTGTGTGTACAAGAATTCCAAAACTTGATTTAAAGTAGGGGAATGTGCAAGAATTTTCCTTTCACGACAGAATAAATTCCATTTTTTAAGATAACTCGCATACTGTTTTTGTGTAGAAGTTCGCCATGAATCGAGGAGTACACCGGTAATGTGGTCAGAAAAGCCCTGGTTCTGATAATGTTGCCGGACAAGAGACATGCCATCAACTTCAGTTTTCCTTGCATGCTGTGAACCTTGCCTAATGGGTGTCTCAATAAGTCCACTTGAGGGGTCCACAACAACAGCTTTGGCTACTGAATGAGCATCTGTAGAAGAAGAGGGTACCATGTTTGTGTGGGCCATGCAGGGACCAGTAAAACCCCTTCGGCTTGGTCTCGAGAGATTTTCTCCAGACATTTCGGAATGAGACTAAAAGGAGGGAAAGCATAAAAATATTCATTCGCCCATGATACACTAAAAGCATCCACTATTGCAGCATGTGGATCCGGGTGCCAAGAGGCATACCGTGCTACCTGTCTGTTCAACAAAGATGCAAACAGATCAATACTAAACTTAGGGAATTTTTTGGAGAGTTTGTGAAAAATATCCGTATTAAGCTGCCATTCATGATCTGACAGATGTTTTCTAGAAAGTGAATCTGCAACTACATTGCTGGGTCCTGGAATATAATTAGCAGTGACCCAGATATTGTGGGAAATGCACCACGCCCAAATCTTTCTGGCTACTGTATCACAAGCAGAAATCTACATCCCCCCATGTGATTGATATAACTAACGGCAGTCATATTGTCTAACTCGAATTTAATGTGGACGTCAGACTTCTCCATACCAAATATTGTTAAACATATAAAAACAACATACAGTTCCCTTACATTAATATGTAGGGTACGCTGTTCACTTGTCCACAAACCCTGAGACTGTAACTGAGGAATAGTAGTACACGTTACGCCCCAGCCAAGATCACTAGCATCAGTCTGAAAGATATAGGAGATGACGGGATGACGAAGTCGCCTAGATGAATGCATCACATGTGTAGTCCACCACTGAAGCTCCTGCTTTGCTGCCTCAGAAAGGTGCATAAATGACCGATAATTTCCATTATTCCGTGCAAGGGCGTTAATTTTATCGCGTTCAAGATTGCGATAGTGTAACCGACCAAACTCAACCCCAGGGAGGGCAGAGATAAGTGTACCAATAACACTAGCAACGAATTGAATTGTAAGTTTGTTGCCACGCAAAGCCTGTAAACAGAGATCTCGCAATTTGACCTTTTTCTCTAGGGGAAGTTTTACTATCATTAACAAACTATTTATTAAGAACCCCAAAATTAAGAGCTCTTGGGAGGGTATCAATACACATTTGTCAGGGTGGACATGCAACCCAAGACTAATAAAAAGTCTGACACTATCCGATACATTAACTGCGCAATCCGAAAATTCCTGACCTTGAAAATAAAAGTCATCAATAAAACCACTGTTAATGTGTCCTTTTTGTCGAAGAGTAGCCAAAACTGGCTTCATGACTTTGGTGAAAATTCTGGGAGAACTAGTTAGCCCCATGGGCAGTACACAAAACTCATACAGTTGTTCATTCCAAACGAATTTGAGAAATTTCCGTTGTTCGTCTGCAATAGGAATAGTGTAATATGCATGCTTTAAATCAATAGAAGCCATATAGGCTCCTGGAGTAACAAGACTAAGAATTGCAGCAAGCGTATCCATTTTGAAATGTCTGTAAAGAACAGCCTGGTTACAGCGCTTAAAATTAAAAATCAATCGATATGAACCATCCGGTTTTGGTACTACAAAAATTGGAGATATACATTCTCCCGCAGCATGCATCGATTTTGATATGACTCCAAGCTGCAGTAGTTTATCTACTTCCTTACTAATAATATCATGTTAGTGGACATTAAAATACTGATGCCCTGGAATGCTATATTTAGAAGGGTCATCAATGAACTCTATGTGACAATGCTCTATATTATCTAAAATCTCTGGGTCAGATGTGATCTCTGACCATTTAGAAACACAATTCTTAGTATTACCAGCCGTAAAACCTGGCTGCTCAGAAATAAGTGATTTAACATTAGTTAATAAGTCAACATACCAGTTGCGAGTGGGCTTTTGGTTGCTTGCCTTTCGCTCGTACTGGGGCACATTCTGAAAATTCTGGCGCTGATGAAAACCAGAACCAAACTGAGAACCGTGGCCACGCTGGCTTCTACCACGCATTGAACCGCCTCGAAAACCTCTCGTAGCATACGGGTGAAATCTCGGACCTCGTCCACGAAAACTGGTCGTGCCTTTACACACTTTGTGTTTGTTGAACTCGGCCATCTCTTTTAACGCGTTTAGCAGTGTCGCCTCCAAAAAGAAATTCGTCAGCTGGACTCGTAGTACTACAAAGCCCCTTGGCAAATTCCGCTTTAAATTGAGGTCTGATAGCATCCCGTCGTCGTTGATTGAGCTCATAATTAGCAGTCATTGCCAGTGTGAGGCCATCTAAACAACTGTTTAGAACATCTTTGGACACATTAGCCGACAGCAAGGAATTAGTTGCTTCAAGCTGGCAATTAATAGAACCTAACAATGCAGCTTGTGTTGACTGAAATTTAATGTCTGTAACGCGTGCCTTGCCAGGAATTTCATTCCAAATACTTGGTTCACATTTAGGCAGGCATAATTGAACATTTTCGGGTGTATTATGACGTTTGGCGATCGCTTTAGCTTGATCTTGGCTTACTCTTTGCAGTCGCAATTTATTAACCAAATCGCCAATTTTCTGACTAATTGCTGGCCCTTTAACATCAACGTTAAGATCTAATTGTTGCTCATATTGCAAAATTTCAGCTTCATTTGCATTGGCATTAGTGATGTCGGCACTAACACGGTCAACTTGTCCGCCTGATTGAATTAAACTATCAATGTCCGCCTGAATATCGACATTTTCAGGATTCTCAACATGGTCGTCAGTTGGCTGAGAATCTATTTCAACATCATCTTCCTGATATTGCTCAGTAAAGCTTGTAAAATTTTCGTTTAAGCGATTCAAACTCATTAAAATCGCGCGGTTCACTGCACTTTGATCAAAATTTTCATCAATAGTGCTATCTAAGTCAAGATCGCTCACTGGCGGATCTATAGGCCTTGAACTTTGCTCTGCACATATGCTCACACTGGAGACACTGGCCTTCGACATGGTCTAGGAGAGAAACGTAAAAACTACATTACTATAGTATATTTTAAAAGACACACCTAGATTTCGTAATCGCTCCGACCATGTCCATATAATAAATGCCGTACAAGGTCATTCCAGGTAAAAATAAGCGGAATTCGTCCAGAATACGCTGCACCTAAACTGATATTTCATCCAAACTTATACTTACCTAACTCTCGTCGAAAACCAAAACTTGAACTGGAACTCGAAAATCGACGTCTACTCCCAACGGTTGATCCTTGTTCAATGATGTGATGTCACTCCCGGTGAGCCTGCGTTCGTTCTTCATGTCAGTCCGTAGGTTACGACTTATGGGATAGAATGAAGCTTAATGGAGTTTATCATCTCATTATCTGTTGTCTTAATTACCTTTCTCACGATGACATTTATCCACCATTTTTGCGTGGCATTATTTAAATTTAATTTCCGGAATCTTGGTAAACTTTGTTAAGCCCGCCGCACACGAGAGCAACTTGCTGAGGCGATTAGCTCAGCAAGTTACTCTCGTATGCGGATAGCATCAGCAAGTTGCTCTCGTGTGCGGATAGTATTCGTGAGGATTTAACCTCTCGAGGCCTCGCGAGGAAAAAATCTCACCGTCTGCGGATGTTGTGAGCTAAGTACTGAGCTGTTTGAATCAATTAGCCAATGACAAACCATGGTTTTTTCATGTAACTTGGAACAAAAGGGAGGAAAATGCAAATGATTTTGTCATTTATGTTGTTGTTGAGTAGTTTTCTCAATGTGTGCGGTGAAAATACATAGCTGAGCGACGGGGTTAGCTCAGCAAGTTGCTCTCGTGTGCGGCGGGCTTTAGACAGCATTCTCTTTGTTTTATTGCAGGCGATCCAAGTTGAAATCTAGGAACAAACGAACAGGCAGTAGGAAGGCAAGGGACATATTCAAAAAATTTACGCAAATATATGTTCAAATTGCATTCGACGCGATCGAAATTCGACAATAAAAAATAGTTTACGATTTTCTGCTCTTGGGAATTTAAAACAGCTTCTTAGGCCCGTTTTATACGTCGAATTTTGGTCGAATGCAATTCAAACAATAGATAATGAGATGATAAACCTCATTAACCTCATTATCTATTGTTTGAATTGCATTCGACGCGATCGAAATATATTCGACGTATAAAACAGGCCTTACACGGTTTCTTTATGCACAAAATTTACAGTTACGTCAAGCTTTGATGCGCGTGTGGGTTCAAATTCTAACAATACATTTATTTCAATAGTTTTCGCTTTTTTGGGAGATCCTGTATGTTTCTACTTAACCATTGTGTAATATAATGACTGTGTAATGAATCGACACACTGTTATTGGTTGGTGGGGTGAAAAAACAATGAACCGAATCGATCATTTGTTGCATCAACCAAGTCAAAAACATTGATAATGAGGTCTATATTATGTTTGCATCGCGTTTGTTAAATTATTTTAGTTTAAGCAAACACAACACAACGCTGGAACTGAGCAACTGAAGTGCAATTAGGAAGAGTTCTGCTTTCTTCAACATTTTGGTGTGTCATGCATATTCAAATTATTTTCGTATAAAATCATGACACGTGTTTCTGTGCAGTCATACTGTTTGTCGCTGTGCTATTCTGCAGAAGTCCTTTCAGTAGCTCTTCTCGTGAAAAATTAGTTCTTCGATTGAAACGGAAATTCTCTCAGAGCTAAATTCTTGTTGGTAAGTGAATAACTTTTCTAAGAGAAATTTTTATCTTGTTTGTCCTAAATATGTATTATTTTGTTAACAATTATTTAATTCCCTTTAGCTGTTCCGCTATTTTACTTTGCGAGAACGATCAGTTATGAAATCTACGACTAAGAATCTATCCCGCCTTTGAATTCTTTGCCTGGTGGCGTCGGCAAATACAACGAAGAAGTGATTGGGTTTCACAACCAAGTAACTCTGTAACGCGAAGCCATGTAGACGCTGAATTAGTGGCTCGATCAGCTTCAAACACGACAACGAGATGGTTGCTGAAAGAACGCGAGACCCACTGCCACACGAAGCTAGTATGTTGTGGACGCCCAGACCAGCATTCGTTACAGCGAGCTTGCAGGAAGACTAACATTTGTTTCGTCTATACCACCACCGGTTCTACCGTAGATTTAATAATGTGGACAAGGCTACGAGTACAGCTCAGTGGCCATGACGCTGTGTCAACGTGCTTCCTACAATGCAAGGTCAGTAAAACTTTTTCTCATGATTATTTTAAGACAAATACAACACACAGTCTTTATTTTTTATTTGAATTGCGATGAGAACTATGTTTTTCAAATAAAATAAAATTATTTAATTGTGCTTTAAGCGTTTGAAAAGTAGGAGAAAGTTGCGGATTTAGAGAGATTCAAGATATTCAACTGTCCGAAAAATGCAACAAAACGTTTCGAGCGAATTCCTTGGTCGAGAAGTTTACTGCCGTGATGGATATTTGCACATAACATATATTTGTATGACAATGTTAAGCTGATGTATAACAACGTTTTTATTTCGTAGTGCTGCAAATGAAATATATCTTTCCAAGCTATTAAACTTGTCCTCAAAATTGAGCGAGTTATAATCTGCGTTCCACGCCCGCTCGTGCGGAAAATTCCTTCAAAATAAATTTCTTTCAAAATCATATCTTGACAATGGAAGCACTGCATGTCCCACAATGCCATGCAGTCATGTCACGAGGAAGGAGGGAAAATTATTTAAACCTCGCTTTAAAAATTAAACATTGCTTAAAAGATTTCTATATTGTTTTTCTGATCTTTTTATACCAGTATTCAAACCTGCAAAGGAGCTGTGAAAGCAAGATAGTTTGAGAGACGTCAAATAGTACTTCAAGACAAGTCCAGTGTCGAAGTTTCGCTTCGAAGTTCACCGCAACTTGGCGAGGCACAATTATTTAACCGACTTCAAACAAGATGCCTATAAAACAACTTATTTAAAGGTATATTTTCGCTTATACTTGTCGTATTCATATACTTAAAGCTTTTATATAGTTGCATGAATAGTCTACATGTTTTAATACGGGCATTTGAAAGGAAAGTTTGTGATAAGGTTTGAAATTTCGAAATGAAAATATGCATGTGGTGATGTGGGTTCCAAGACACGTGGCGGAGCCGAAGTATAAAAGCTTGGTAAAATGTTTTTGTTTTTCTCTAATGTTTCTTTCTTGTTATTACTATATATATTATACATGAAATGAAACAAAGTTTGTTATGAATAAAAGTGTATTTTTACTTTAGTCTTCTACTGGGGGGGGTTGTACATGTATAAGCAAACCCTATAAACCAATCCAGGGTGCATTTCATTTATTCGTACTGGAACAGAACAGTACGCCGAGTATGATTTGCTATTCGTACTGCAGTCTGAATATTTAAGATAAACAGACCCCAACCCCCAACCCTTCTCTAATGTACGAGTCAAATCTAACTGTGATCAGCCCCCTCCCCCAGAAACCACAGTCCAACCGCTGAGCAAGTTGTTGTCAAGTGGTCAAATGCCCAACCTGGCTGTCAAATTCCTGCTATACGGAGGTAATCTTAAGTCAAATGCGGGGCGGTTGGATTTAACTTGTATATATCTCTAACCAATAAATGTCTAATATACTATTTGCAACTTAAAAAAGTCCTGAAAAAAAATTTAAAAATATTTTAAGAAAAATGTCAAACAGGAAACCGACAGCAAAAACTTAACCGGACCCGACCTCGTTTTGCTTCACATGCACGCAGCGCCTTTGCCGCATATGCTAGCGGCAAGCTTGCTAAAAGCCATTGCAAAGAAACTATTTTATATTATTAATTTACAAAATGTAAGAATTGGGTGACATACTCCAGTACCAATAGCCACTTTGTTTATGTAAAGCCAATGCTGAAGGTATGCCAGTACTTGAACAAACTTGCACCATGTCACAGGAACAAGGAAGCTGCCACACCTAACATTGAAAATGTTATGCCAATTAGGTTCTATCACCACTTTCTGTATCACAGGAATCTGAGATCAATGATTAAAAAATGCCAAGAACAACTTGTGCAGTAGTCCAGTCCCATATAGACAATTCTACAGTTAATCATTGCCAAAGATTGTTGGTGTATATATGGCACTTAAATGCACCCTTGGTAAATAAATGTCTAATAAACAATTGAGGAGATGTTTAAAAAAATTGAGAAAATATTTCCAAGTCACACTCTGTTGCCGATAAGCTATAAGAGTAGCTCTACTGTGACTTAGCAGGCCATAATATTGATTGTATCTGTGTTCTTCTTGATACTGCCAAGTCCTTTATTAGTTGTCCAGTGGCTAAAGCAAACATACACTTTCCATTTTAGAAATCTGTGTTTGAAATACACCTATATGATAAGTTCAAATGGTAACACAAGAACCTGCAGCATGGGTTGCCTCAGGTGCAACAGAGTGCTCTCCCTGTCACCAAAAAACAGCTTTATTGGTTGAACATCCAGAATAATTGTCCTGTATATATATTCAGGTATGTTTCATGTTAGCCTTCAAACTTCATTGAATATAAATTTTGAGCACTATTTATTCAACCAATTTGGTGTTGAATAGTGACTGACCGATAATTGTAATCTGGCCCATTCTTGCCTTATCAGGTGAGTTCATATGAATTATGTACAAATTGGGACGAAGATGTTACTTTCAAGTATTTATCTTAATGTTGTTTCTTTGTTATGGGCAGACACAAGTGATGAATCATGAAGTGTATCAAAGTGGAGAACTCAGCAAATTATCCACTGGTGGTCAAAGAGACATTCTAAAATGAAGACCAATTAATGTCAGCAAGTATCAGGATGTTTGGAAAAGAATGTATTATACCAATGGAAATATTCAATTGCTCAACTGGCTAATGAAGATGTTACAAAACTGACAATGTGCAATTTCAAAATTATTTTGTGGTCAGTGATGCAAATACAGTATATGGATCTTGAACAGGTAAATAGAGTAACCAATCACATACACCCTGTTTCATGTCTTGGATCAACCTAATAGTATTTAACCTATTCCCCCTGACAACTAAAATAATTTGGCATTAGACAGTGAGAGTAAAATAATGTGTGGTGCATCTACTGTAGGTTCATAATCGGCTGACAATCTGTTTATAATCTTTAAGAACTGTCTAGGCTGGGCTGTTCTTGAAAAAAACAGAAACCGAAAACCGTCAAGAAAAAATCGGAAAAACCGGTTTTTAATCTATAAATGACACACAGCCATAAAATGGTGTAGCATGTGTATTTATTATGTGAATAATTTCGGTTTTAGATGCTTGTAATATCAAAAGCTTTATAGGGCCAAAAAAAAAATATGTGGGTTTCCGGTTTCTTCTTATAAAAACTTAGGTAGGGTAGGTCGGTTTTAACTTTTTTTTTAACTTTTTTTTTATTTTTCCGAATAAGCGGATGCCACTTCCACATCCAAAGATAAATTTCCCTAATATTGCCTCAAATTTCAATTTTCCACAAACTTTTTCCTCTAAGTGGAAACATTTACAAGCATAATACACTAAAAAAGTTTAGGGTCGGGATTTCGACGTCCAAAAGCTAGGTAGGGTCGGGAAACCGGAAACCCACATATTTTTTTTTGGCCTAGGTAAAAGGTATAAAAATACAAGTAAGAAGACAGTGTTAAAAGAATGTATTTTTATCTCCTTTTGTCCTGGTTCTTTCCGGTTTTTCGACACTTGGACTTCGGCAAAACCGGAAAAAAGTTTTTCAATGCCCCAGGGCTGGTTGTTGAAAAGCCGGTTATCCTAACCCTGGGTTAACACAAATCTACAAATTAAGTTTTCCAACAGTTCATCAATCAAGTTCAATATGTTTTTCCAGAAATCTTTTCTGGTTCAATAGAGGTTTTATTTCATAAAGTTTTGAAACGAATGATCATGCAGAAATACATAAACAAAAACAGCAGGTTAAAATTTAACCCAGGGTTAGCACTAATTGGGCTTTGAACAACCGGCCCCCAGCCTAGAATTGTCTGTGTCAGTGTAGATAGTGCCAATATAACAATTGAACAAGCTTTCGTTGAACAAGCTTAGGAGAATTTTGATGTTTCAGTGTTTGGAGTTACTTGCCTAGTAGCACTTGAAACGTTGAGAATCTTTAGTTATTATATTTTCAGCTAGTGTATCCCCACCAACGAAAGCTTGTTCATGATAGTTGGGTTTCCTAGCATTAATGCATTACACTCTTCCACGAGTAAATACAAGAAAAAAACACAATAAAGATAAGTGAGTAAATAAAAAAAAAGTCAAATATATTTTTCGAAAGTGTTATTTCTCATGAAGAAAAAAGTTGCCTGTGTAGGAAGGAATGTGACTGGATGCCCATATGCCCTAGCTATATACTGAAGTCTGAGGTTGTCTAGGATCCAGTATTCCTGGGGCCATGTGTTCAAATGTGCCAGGTGGGTTAGCGCTAACCCTGGGTTAAAATGTAACCTACTGTAAATTTTAGTTTGTGTATTTCTGCACATCTGTTCATTTCAAAACTTCAGAAAAGTATAGACTCCTATCAATCCAGACAAGATCTCTGAAGAAATATTTCCAAATTTATAGACAAGCTGTCAGGAAGTTTGCTTTGAATTTTAGGTTAACCTAGGGTAGCTCTAGGTTAACCTAAAATTCAAAGCAAACTTCCCAACAGCTTGTTTAAAAATTTGGAAATATTTCTTCAGAGATCTTGTCTGGATTAGCAGGAGTTTTTCTCTGAAGTTTTGAAATAAACATTGGTCTGCAGAGATGCACATTATCAAACTAAAACGGCAGGTTATATTTGAACCGAGAACTACAGTAGCACTAACCTACCTTTAAACAACCAGCCGTAGAAGTGTTGGAATAGCCAACATAATTTCTAATCATCATAATTTTTAACTACAGACAATAAATTGGTATCGTGAAGTGGACAGGATCATTCTGGGTGCAAACAAACCAAATTAAATTGTTCTGGTGCAAACAAACCAAATTAAATAGTTCTGGTGCAGACAAACAAAATTAAAGGGAATTTATGACTACAAGGTACCAAACTTTTTTTAGTTTAAATCAAAAGTAACTTAGGCTGAGGCACCTTGGGAAAATAACTAAAAACAAAAATGTGTTTTGTGGTAAAAATTCTGACTTGTTTTTTATTTTAATGAAATGCAAAATTTCAATTAAGATTAATTTACTTTGTCGAAACAAAACCAAATGAATTTTTTTGTGGAAATATTTATTGAAGTGCCTCAAATGTAGGTGCCTCGGCCTACCTTTATGTCTGTACTTAAACTATTTGAGGTTTTCATTGCCATTATCATCCAACACGATTGTTCGCAAAAAGGTGTGGCTATTTCATTGTGAATTTTACAATTTTAAAGAGAATTTCAGCCACTTTCACAAATGCTAAATTTATATTAAGTAGCAAACTTTATGACTTATTCTGAGAAATCATTTCACATGATTTAATGAAATGCTAGCTTTCTCAACAAATGACTAGTACTAAGAGTAGATCATTGATTTAAATATGACTAGCACATTGCGTCCTGCCTTCCACTGTTACATTCCTCTCAAACATTCTTGTGGAGTTAAGGTTATCTACAATAATTTCGCTAGCTACCACTTTAAAGTTTTGTGCACCTAATGTGTCACACTGGAAAAAGCGTTTTATCCATTGTTACCAGTGAGTGAACTGAAAACTGGTCAAGGCCTCAGTACCTCTTTCATATTGACTTTTTTAATGGTGCAAGTCAAGACTATTGCTTGTCGTATAAGTGAGGGTTGTTGGGTGAAAAGGAATGAAGTGGAAACACAGTATAGACTTGCATGGTTTTCTTCTGTTTCAGTCAATTCAAATCTTTAAAATGAACTTCTAATGTTGTACTTCTAATGTTTGTTGCTACAGGCATTGATTGTAGTGTCGCATGCTAACCATGGACATACTGTAATACTACACACATAATACCACACATACAAGGTCGCATAATATCCATGGTTATACTGTAATACCAACACAGCGTTGCATAATATCCATGGACATAGTGTAATGCCATACACATAATGCCACATATACAGTGTCGCATAATAGCCATATACATACTGTTACAGTAATACCACACACATAATATCACACATACAGTGTCAAATAATATCCATGGTCATACCGTAATAACACACACATAATACCACATACACAGTGTCACATAATTACCATGGACATACTGTAATACCATACACGTACTGTAATATACCACACATACAGTGTTGCATGCATAATATCCATGGACATATTGTAATACCACACGCACAATCACACGTACAGTGTTGCATAATATCCAGTGATATACTGTAGTACCACACAGATAGCCTAATACAACATAACTTATTAAACAGTGTAGTACAATATAGATAGATAGAAAACTTTCAATAAACACGCTGATCCTGTCAACCGAAGCTGATTTGCACGAGGGGCGTGCGAAAAAGTATACACAAAATAATTTAAAACTATTAATTTCCAAAAGTAGCACTCTGCGCTTCTCGGGAGAATGCGTACACGTCTCCAGTCGGCGTTTACTTCTTGGAGTCGAAGGCCAAAATATAAATAAATAAATAATAAGTCAATTATTGTATATTTACATTAGATAATTTTTATTTTATTAGAATTGCAAATGTCGCAATCTGCCTCGATATTTGAATACAACTAAATCTTTCCCTTCGGACAACAAGTATAACAAATCAAAATATTTTAAAAACACAAACTTATTTGCCGGTATATTGTTATATTTCCGTTTAATTTGCATAGTGATAACTGAGTATTCAAATACAACACATACCAATACAAATACAAGCAATCACGCATAGTCTACGTTAATTATAACATTAAGTTGTGATAATTCACTTCTACTTTTTTGTAACAAAAAACCAAACCGCTGTATATTTCCCTTACCGCTGTGGCATCTCGAAGTCTGAGAAGTGTGGTCTGAGAGGTTTGGTGTCATCCGGTCCTCTGGAAAAGAGACCTAAATAAAAAATCCATCAAGTTCGGTTATAAATACAAAATAATGGTAGTGCTATTTACATGGTTTTGTTCCAAGATTTTACAACTATCATATATATGAATATTCATGTAACAATGAAAATATACCTGCGACAAGGGCATTGACTTGATCTTCAATGTGTTCCAGACATTTTCACGTTTTTCTTCGTAAATCATGGCAACATTGAACATGCCTGCATCATTCTGTCATGATTAGCCTGCGAACAGGCTCTCAAGCTGAATTGAGAGCCTGCATCGATGACTAATGATTTTGAATATCTGCGTCTCAAATCATGACGCGAAATTCTCATTGGTCAGATGCTATAATTTATATGTTTCCGCTGAGCTCTATATATGTCAACTGCTGAAGCACTATGCATAAAAAACACTGATTAACTGATCAAATTGGTCTTGGACGTCTTATCTCAAAGCACGAAATGTTCTGTTCTGAGAAAACAGTATTTAAAACATTTGAACTTTTGCTTGAATATCTTATATTTCGAAAAACAGTATAAACTGCACGGTCTAAATTTAGTTTGCACGGTCTAAATTTAGTTTGCACGAAAGTTGTAAACAACACCATATAAGGATAGACATTCCATATTTGGAAAAACGAACGTTACGGGCCAGATATTCAAATTCATTAGTCATCGATGCAGGCTCTCAATTCAGCTTGAGAGCCTGTTCGCAGGCTATGTCATGATATTTAAACGGTCAATATAAACTTATTACTAATAAGTAAACATTGTCAACACCGTATACTAATGATTGGCTAAAACGTACCTGCAAAAAATAATTTTCTAACGAAATTATTGTCTTTTATTTGTGAAGAAATTATTGATTTTATATTTTTCATCATGGCGGAAAGTACAGAACGAGAGCTTTACGGCGACTTACGAGCAATTACCACCAGCATCAGAAATCCAAATTTCTTCTATATTTTGAATCAAGCTGCATCGTCTCGGGCATGACTCGGTCAACGAAACTGGCACGAGTCATAACGTCAAAATCACTTGTCAATAATAGTGTGCTGCCTACGGCAGCAAGAACGTATATGGTTCTTTAGCAGCGCGCTAAAATCAATGTAATACTGAGATGTTACTCAAATAGTTCGCCCTTTCCGTCGACCCGCGAATTTTAGGGCGGGCGAAACGTAGGTCTGTTTTCAGGCTATCTCAGAACGGACCTTGCCTATACTTTTGAAAAGTACTGATTTGAAACTTACAATTGCTGTCCAGACGAAGAACAATGGGTCGAATAGTTTGTTGGGTATCTTGTGACCTGGCCGGTGGTGATCAAGCTGTAGTTCCTTTTGCTTCGCAGGTCTGCTAATCTTGCTGCGGGACTTTGGCAAAGGCAATAGACCGACTGCTTGGGTTCACAGCGGTCTTCTTTACCACATCAAAGATCACCTATATAACAAGAATAAAACTGTATAGATAAATCAAGGTATAAAAGCTGTGTGTATGTTCTCATCCAGCACAAAACCACTTCTATAGTTTGATATTTAAACATTACGAGACCTACATCCCTGTACGTAACGTTGAGATCTTGAAAGGCAACTTTTCGAAATCCCGTCGATGGTACTCGGCCCTCGTCAAGGCCACAGGTCCCTCTGCGTGTACTTATTGTATAACGTGTACTTTTTTCCAGAATTTGTATATTATAATTTTTCCATCTGTTCCTAATTTTCCAACATACTTCATCATCATTGATCAGTTTTTCAAATACGGATCTTTGTAGCCTCTGCAACACCGAAACAGATTGCGCACTGCCAACAAAGGTTCGAAGTACCTCTGTAATCCTTGGCCTTTGCTCAACAGTGGCATGGATCTAAAATGATTTCTAAAGTGAACAAATCTTATCAATTATTCATTAACGAGACGCACACACAAAAGACGAGTTGACTTGCAGGTTCGTTTGGCAGATTTTTTACGGAAGTTTCCATCTCCTTGTCAATCTCGGACGATCGAAACAAACACGCCAGCATGTTTGTCGATCCTTAAGTTTCACCGCCAGCAATTTTAATTCTGCCATTTATAACAAAATAAACCACAAAATAAGAAAAAAGACAACGCCCTCTACATGCCTATACTTTCAGCTGACTCGTAGGGATTTGTTTACTGATATTTATAATTAATGTGGAACGCAAACTGACAATTAGACGCAGTCATTTCTGAAAAAGAGAAGAACTTGTATGGTAGCATGGCAGACGTGAAGAATGATCAAAATTCAATCAAGAATTTTTTTTAGATAATTTATTTTTTAAAAATAATTTGTTTTCCCGTCTTTCCCAATTTTGGTAATTTTTCGATACGATTTTGGTAACATTACAAGAATCACCCAATGGTCAACAGTCGCGTGGATCTAAAATGAATTATACTATGGACAAATCTTATCAATCCTTTATAAAAATATTCATCAACGAGACACACACTCAATGATGTTCGCACATGCCTTTTATACACAGCTACACCCATTGAACGATATACACCAACTTATTCAATCCAAAAATACCTTCGGCGTCTCGTCACACAACCGCCCCTGAAGACATTTGCCTTCACTTTAAAAATGAATATTTCAATATTCCCTGCCGTCTCCGCCGTGCGTTCATGCTCGTCTCTTGTTACCATTTCAGTCTATGACAAAAAATCCATCCCCAGTGCTGGGATCTAAGTCCTCAGCAGTGCCAACAATCCTGAGAACGAAATCACAAAATGGACGACCATAAACAATTGTTTTGCCAGTCAGTTCAAACATTCCATATTTATTCAGGAACTCTTCAGTAGGTTTGGGAATATAAAAAGTTCATGTGTTGATTATGACGCATCAGGAAGATAGAACGGAACGGCTGAGGTTGTTTATGAAAGCAAAGATGATTCTTTCAAAATAAAAAAAAAACGACAATCCCCTCTACATGCCTATACCTTCAGCTGACTATCAGTTTTGTCTCTGATATTTATAATAATTAAAGTGGAACGCAAACAGACAATTAGATGCAGCCTCGAAAAGTTAAACTTCAAGTTGGTTGCACGAGCGAAATACAAAGTGTTGCCAAACGCGTGCAACACCGGACTAATTTCATATACAAAAAGTGTGAGGCGGCTGGTCGAGGGACTCCACTTAAGTGAATAATTGTTAATTATACAATCCCACCTTCCTTTTTGGGCGACTTTTCTCCGCTTTTTGTTTCGACGACGGCGAGTTGGCTTGCTCTGGAAGATTGTACATCTTCAAGCGTGATAAGGAATGAGAAGACAATACATGCAATACGTTACCACGCCATACGATGCCACGCCACACACCATACCCTACCCTGTTATGTCCATGCACTAGGTATATGATGAGGCTAGTCAATAATATAGCAGCAGTACAAAGAAAATAATGAATAGCATGTCCCCAATACATATATCCTTGTGTACATATTTTAAAGGCATGCAACCATGGAAATGCATCTATTGGGGGAGTGTAACAAACAATAAAGTCTTCAACTGGGTTGCGATTCAGTTAAAAGTCAAGGAGAAATTCATTCATTCCCAAAACATAACGACACATCACCCTATAGATATTTCATAAAAGAATAATTGCTGTTGACCTTGACGACCCAGTCAGGGACCAGGGTCATGAAAGAGCAGCGGATGGGGGCGTTCCTCCTTACAGATGTAAGAGCAGCCGTAAAGCCAACGACTTCCCGCATTTGACGTTAAAATCGGAATGGATAATGCCTATGTTGGTTTCTTCTAAAAAAAAATATGGATGAAATTTGAGTTCCATGCTTGGCAAGTAGTTTTCATCACAGTAGATGTTGCTTGTTGTCGTCGAGTTGCTCTTATTGATTACAGACAATAAATATTCCTCTAACTTACTCCAGGCCACTCATTTGCTCTCACGATCCTCGACGCTACGAATGTGAGGGTCATCGTAAAACTCTTTTGGTTTACACTAAAACAGGTTGTCAGGTCCATGAACCTATATCAAAATGAATAAACGCAAATGCTAAATACGAATTAAATTTCGTGCAAGGTTTCATTTCAACTTCAAAATTAACACTCGTACATACTCTATGTAGTGCATTAAGATGCTAATAAAAGTAAATTATTTCAAAACGTATTATTTTAAAACATCTTTCTATCTTGCAACTCACTGCTGTATTTTTTATTTTTATTATTGTGTGTGTATATATATAACTACCTGATCATGGCCATTTTCAGATATAGAGGGACTGTCACAAGTCCATCCTTGATGGTTGTGGCGAACTCGGACAGATTTCTCTCCTCAAACACTTGTATTCCGCCGGCATCTTGAACTGTGTTGTTTTCAATGTGGAGCTTATAATTTTTATTAAATTAGGCACAAACTAAATCAACTATACAGCAGTAGTAATTGAACGATATTTTACCGAAATATGTTTTACTATTTAATAATAGTGAAAGTTGCTATAATTGGCCAGCAAATTAATCTGGTATTTTACCCTATTTCCGAGATACCAATAATAGTTGGGGCTCGTTGGAATCATAGTTAATAGAATAGATGGTTTGGAAACTCATTAGAATAACAATATAACTCATCTATGTTAGTCAACGTTTATTCATAAATATGGTCCTTCACTGTCACGTGTGTATTGTATTTTTGCCAAATTCACCAATAGCAATTTCCAATTTACCCTATTGTTCGAGTCACGGATAGGCAACTTTCTTAAAACATTATTATTGGTTAGTTCGGCAAAAATACAATACGCACGTGACGGTAAACGACCAGATTTATGAATAAACGTTGACTAACATAGATAATGAGTTATATTGTTATTCTAATGATTTTCCAAACCATCTATTCTATTAACTATGTTGGAATCGATTGATATCCCAGGTTATTCGTGATGTACCCAAATCCGCTGTTGATCGGGCAAGGGTTCACATTTTTGTGTGTACTCGCCCATAGATATTTGACGTCCCGGGCTTTTACACCACCAAAAACATGCATAGCTGAAACACAGAACTGATTCCTCAACGCGTCCATCAACGACTTTGCCTCAAAGTCGCTTGCTTTCAGGAGGACACATCTAAAATGAAAGAATTAAATAATCCATTTGTAACTAGAATTAATAGTAAAGACAAGCTTATTCTGGAAATCTCAAGACAAGAAGAGCATCCAGTAAAGGAATTGATATCTGGAATAATCTTGATATAAAATTAAAAAGTGCTGTTTCATATTATATTTTTAAAAAGTAACAAAAATTTACTTCATAAAATTAAAAATATGACCACATCATATATTGGGGAAAACGAGATCTCAAGTTATATATTGATGTGGCCTGGGCTATACGTAAAACACAATTGCAAGAATCGTGTGAAACTTCAAGTTGGTTTAACGAGTGAAATCCAAAGTGTCGCCAAACGTGTGTAAAAGCGGACCGGTTTCATTTACAAATATTGTGATAGATCACAACGCCTGTTCAAGTGCTTTAACTATATTGGGCGGCTGGGTGAGGAGCTCCACTTCCTTTTTGGGCGGCTTTTCTCCGCCTTTTATTTCGTCGGCGGCAAGCTCTGGAAGATTGTTGATCTTCAAGCGTGATAAGGAATGAGAAGACAATACATATGCCATACTATACCACGCCACGCACCATACCCTACCATATTATGTCCATGCACTGGGTATGATGATGCTGGTCAATAATATATCAGCAGAGCAGGACAAACAAATAATGAATAGCATGTCCCCAATACTGAAGGAACGCTTCAAATTGTCACAGCAGACCACAAAGCAAATCTCAACATTGTTGGCTTGATACCAGCCCAATGATCGAGATGACTGACCGCACAATAATACTTCTTAGAGATTTAAACAAGATATAAATTAACAATTTACCATGCAGGGATTTGTCCAATCTGTAATATCCTCAATGAACATCATTAGTTTGTTTGGCAAATAAAACAAAGAAATGTGGATGGAATAGTTCTCGACTTTGGTGCCAAAATAGTCGTAGCAGCTAGTTACCTGATGTGCCATTTGATAAAGGACTGGGGTTTAACAGATGTTTTTGCTGTGTGGAAAAGAAAAAGTGGTTATATCGGAGAATATGGATTGCAAAGACATCTTTACATCAATGGAAATTGCCAAAAAGATTAGCTTAAGTCATGCTGGATTAACTAGGATACGACGATTTTAATCTATGGTTGTGACATGCAGCCATATTTACATGTATGTAAGGGTAACAGAAGTAAGCCAGATAACCCTTCTGGCTACTATACTGTATTATAAAATAATTTAAGATACCTGTCAGATTCTTGGGTGTTACTGGTGAACAGTATACTTCCCTTGGGCGTGTGGATACCGCTGTTTGACGTCCACTGATGTAAGCCACCTTGAATAGAAATCTTTGTTAACATTGATTTCATAAGTAGAACCACATTGGGGTTATCATTACCTATTTTCTTTACTGAAAGCTTCCTGCATGTCACTTGACCGAAGAATTCTGGACGCCACAAATGCCAAGGCCAGCTTAAAACATCAAACGTTGATGCCAAAGTATTCCGCATGTCTCATCAAGCTATATGAATAAATATCACAGAGTTATTCAGCAGATACTTTTTATGTGCAAAACTGAATGTCATGTCCGTCGTTTTTTACCAATTACTTCAACAGTTGGCATAACAAAGGTTATTTGATGTTGTTCATTTACTTCATTGGTTTTTGTCTGTTTTGGTGTTATTTTTCTTTTCTTTCCAGTGTCAACAGGCTTGGCACTTAGTCCAAAGCCACCAGGTTGGTATGCCATCTTGTCACCTTATGACCTTCGCTGCGCCCTGAGTTTCTGTTTTTTTCTCTCGGTACTTCAAGCTTACCTTTTTAGCTTCAGTCTGGTGTCATCCTGCTTCCTAAGAGCTCTCATTGTGTGGACTCCAGGAGTGACACCACACAAGTTCATTATCACTGCTTTGCTTGCAGCACCAGTGTTGAACACGGCAACTGTCTCGCATACTGCAATACGTACGTGCCTTGCACCACAGAACTTGGTTTTCGGACACTTGGACCATAACACTCCATTAGCTGTCTGGTTCTGGGGATCGAGATCTTCAAAGGCAACTTTTGGAAATGCTGTCGATGGTACTCGACTCTCCCCACTGGTCTGTGTTGCGACGGTCCCAGACGTTCTCCGATCGACCGGAAAGGTTTTCCTAATTCTTGATTATCCATCTAAAAAAGTAATACGTACCCGACGGCCTTCCCCTTGGCCACCTAGGAAGTCTCTATTAGAAACAAATTGCATATTATTAGTTGAGATTCTCAGATTCATTAAATGATATACCTATGCAGGGCTAACTTGTTGGCATATGTTAACCGATTATGCTGCAATGTGCCCAAATGCACCCTACTTTATCACCCTCCTTTATCACTCTAACACCAGACAATTGTACTTCGAGACTTCAAATTGAATCGGTAATTGACACAAACCCCATGAAAACGATATACTGTATTTTCGTAATTGTTCCTCCATCTATATAAAGAATTAATACACGAAAAGTCGAGAAAAAAGACAACACCCTCTACACGCCTATACTTTCAGCTGACTCATCAGGATTTGTCTGCTGATATTTATAATTAAAGTTGGCGCAAACAGACAACTAGATGCAGCCTCGAAAAGTTAAACTTCAAATATCTTGGCCATAGCCCAGCTGGGCGAGAGGAGCTTCTCCACTTCAGTGAATAATTGTTGATTATACAGTCACCTGAAATGTTGCGTATTTCGTAAGTTGGTCTTGCTCTAGTCAGCACTATAAATATATATGTGTTTCGGCGGCGGCGAGCTCTGAAAATGTACAGAAAAAAATAGATATGTAAACCTCCTTTCTCAGGTCATGTTGCCATCTGAAATAGAACCAGGGCGTCTATAAGAATGGGCGGTGAAACGCCAGTGAAAGCTTTGAAACGTGTGTGATGCACGGACCGGACGCCCCACGTTGTTCGAAAGCGATTTCATTGCATTTTCGTGTTTCAAGATGGCGGGCTGCTTGAGCGAGGAAGAATTGGAAATTGCCATAAGTTTGAATGGCAGTTCTGTCGCAGTTTTCTCGTCATGTCCGCGTACTATATTAAAGCACAATTTCAAGTTTTCCACGGTGTATGAATTAGTGAATTTTGCATTTCAGCATTAGCTGTGGTAAAATATGTTTTTACTCTAAAACATACATACTTTATTACTTTTTGTTATATTAATAGTATATTTGGAAAATTCTAAGTAATTAAGTGATATGGTTTGTTTACTTTATGGTTTGTTTGGTTACGCATTCGTGTTTTTCTTTGTACATTTGTGTATTTTGCAGGAAATTCGGAATAATCAGAATATTTATCAGAATATTTATCAGAATATTTTATGGCATCTTAGGTGAAAATTGATTTTTTTTCATGCCTAATTAGGTAATTAAACCTTAATAATAAGGTGGTTGAATCCCTTTAAACCGGTTTTTTTTTATTTTTAAAGATAATAAAGTGAACATATCATTTTCTGAAAGGGTTAGGTCAAGTAAAACGAACTATGAAAAAAAATTTAACAAAGTCGCTAATTACACTAATTATCCAATATGGCGGCTCTTAATTAGGCCATAATTGCCTAGCGTCGCAAACATCATATCTCATTAACCAATTACCCAAATTTAATGAATGATATATTTTTTAAAAGCTTAGGACCTCGTCTATTATGTGATACTCTTCATTGTTTTCCAGAATTCCATTAATAAAAAATTTTAGAGCCAAAAATGGAATTATGCATTATTGGTACTTTTAACTGAAATATTTACGATGTAATTTGTTAATAATTCATCAATAATGAACAATGTTGAAATGTGAAGAGTGTCACATAATGGACAATGGTACAGACTATAGATGTGCAAAGTATCAAGCCTTCTATGATACACACCTAGAAAATTACATGGTTCCAAGTATTGCGGACTACTGTCAAATTACAAATCTGAGAAAATCCCGTGTGAAAGTTTTAGTTTGGTAAATGTACCTCAAAGAAGGCTTCAGTAGACTTCAGAAGGCCCCTGCTTCATACATTACTCCTTTCTCCTTCTGCCTCATCTATATATTTTTTCCTAAGATGTCTTAATGTTTTTCTTCTGTTTTTTGTTGGCTCTTTGGTCTTTGTTGCCGACAGTTGTATTCGTTGTCGATCACAGTGTTGGGCACCTTCAAAGGTAAATACTCCTGGTTTAATATCCAGGTCCTCAAAGATCTTCAAAAAAGAAATGTCCCCATCATTAAACTTCAACACTGCCAAATATGTTGCAAGTGCAACAGTGGGCTGTTCGACATAGGTGGTCTTTGGACATCGATCCCAAATCAGCCCATTCAAACATTCGTTAACATTTTGGGTTAAACCATGTGTACATTTCTGAAGCAGATCAGAGTTGCTCAACTTTTCAAAAACTGGCACAATCTCATCAACAATGCACTGAGGTATGCCATTCTTGTGTTGATAAGACTCTTTCTCTCGCTTGTAGCTGCACCAACTGTCATCACCATCGGGACAAAGATCATGCTGTGTATTTGACTCGGTTGAAGCGACATGAAATAATGTTGCTTTAATAGCAGTGGCCATTTTGTCAACATCATCCAAGTTGCTCCTTACTGCAAGACCATAATTTTGCAAAATGTCAATTTTCCCATCAGTTAGTCTTCCTTTACCTCCAAATCCTTTGCCGTCACTCAATTTCACACCTTTTCTTGTGTTCTTTAACTTCCGCAGCCGACTCCACACTCTCTTCTGCACATGACCAATACATTCAAGTTTATTTGGAATGCAATCATCTCCATAAGGTTTGCTCTCTGTAATAGCACTATATGTGGATGAGTCACCATCACCAAGCATGTCCTTGTAGCGTAGACCCCTTGTTAAATAGGACCTCTCAAATATCCGCAGAGCTCCAGCTGTTTCCATACTGTTGGCACTTCCAGTGTGGTTGATTTTGCAAATATGGTTGGCTTTCCAGTCTTGATATTTGGGATCATTTGCCTTCTTTTGCCACTTTTGACACCCTTGACATTTGTCTGACAAAACTTCCACGTCCAGACATTTTTTTGTGTCCAATGAGATGGCGGTTACGACACCATTATGTGAAACATGACCTCGCCTTTGCCAAGTTCCATCGAGGGAAATTCCACATTCACCTGCCTCATTATTGCAAGCCTCTTTAACAGCCATAGCATTGTTTACCATACTGTCAGTTGCCAACTGTTTAACAACAGGCAACAGCTTTTTATTTTGTACCTTTGTAAAGTTCCGGCTTGTTGGTGGTGGTGGTGGCATGTTCATTACTTTGGCAAATGTTTACCATAGCTTTATGTCCTCGACCAATTTCTCTAAATGCCAAGACAGCCCTCACATTAATTTCATATGAATGTCCCTGTTTCTTTGATGTATGAAAACAGTACTTCCATTCACATTCGACACTGTTGCATTCAAGTACCATGTAGTGCGAAAAGCCATTTTTCTTTTTCATATCAACATGGCAGGTTGTGTTGTCGCCACATTCAGGGCATCTCAGAATTTCATCGAAGACATTGAAAAGGACTCCCAAATCCATAAACACTGTACCTTCTTTAAGTGAATCTGTGAGACCAGGATTTTCGCGAAACTTCTGACTGTTATCGCCTATTTTCATCTCAGATGGCCCAGGTTTTTCGCTGTTACATGGTCCGCCATGTTTGAATTTTTTGGCTTTCTTGCACGGTAGGATTCGTGCCTTTTTTCGCTTCCTATTTTGCTCATTTCCCATATTTTATCGAAAATAACAAGCAATTTAACAGAATATAACAATATACAACGAAGAAGACTAAATTTGAGCCAAATATCCGGTAAAATTTCGAAACTCTGCAGCGATGTTTACAGCTAGTGTGTTGAGAAGGTTTGTGAAAATTGCTATGAAACAGTGCTTCCATGTGTGTGTAGAATGAACCAATCAAATTGCAGCATGATCATAAGGGCTTAAACAACATACATCAAAAGTAGAAACTACAAATGACTCGTTAATATTGAATATAAAAAGGCGTTGCTATGGCGTTGCTAAGGGGAAAATATTGGACCATCTCTATTCTAAGACCGGTTTGGGGGTTTAAAACGTACAAAATACACAAAAGCAATAACAAATTCTAAATGTTTATAATACCCAAAACACACAAAAATGTTTTTTAAAAAAATTGACCAAATGAAGGGTGCGACCACCTTATTAATACCTTGCCAATCAAACCCATTACAATTAAAAAGGGCCAGGCACTAGATAAAGTTATTAGTCATAGGCATACCAAGTTTCAACCTTTTACATCAAATATTTATAAAATTATGGTGTCACAAAGATTACATAAAACAGCAAATTCTTTGAAAGGAGAAAATGCTATTTTAAAGTTTTGTTTTTTTGCACGAAGTGTTAGAAGCCAACTGCTTCATAAGTTGCACCTTCTTTGTCTACAGCACTGTCAATATATTGTTTTCTAAGGTGCCTCAGTGTTTTTCTTCACCTTTTCTGTGCTTTTCTTGGCGGACAGTTTGATTCGCGCATTGTCACAATCCTCAGCACCTTTACTGGTGAAGATGCCAGGAGTGATATCCAAATCACTAAATATTTTCAGAAAAGAAATGTCCCCATCATTGAATTTCAGGATAGCTAAGTATGTGGCAAGAGCAACAGTTTCCAGCTCTACATAAGTGGATTTTGGACATCTGTCCCAGATGAGCCCATTCAAACACTCATTCACATTCTGTGTCAATCCGTGCGTACATTTGCTCAACAATTCAGTCTTACTAAGGTCATTAAATATAGGCTTGATAAAGTCAACAATACAGTTGGGAATACCATTCTTGTGCTGATATTGGTTTTTGTCTCTGTTATACCCACACCAACTGTTCTCTCCATCTGGGCAGAGATGATGCTGCGGATTCTGATCTGTTGATGCAACATGGAGAAGTGATGCTTCTATTGCCTTGGCCATTTTATTAACATCCAGGTTTTGTCTAACAGCCAAGCCATAGTAATTCTGCAGGACATCTATTTTGCTGTCAGTGAGTCTACCTTTACCAGCCAAACCTTTTCCATCTGCCAGTTTCAATCCTTTGTTGGAACTCTTTATTCTCCGCAGTCTACTACCAACTCTCTTTTGGACATGGCCAATACACTCTAATTTATTTGGAATGCAGTCCTCGCCATATGGTTTGTTCTCAACAATGGTGTTGTAGGTTGATGAATCACCATCCCCCAGCATATCCTTATACTTGAGCCCTCTTGTAGCTAAGGACCGTTCAAAAATCCGCACACCACCTGCTGTCTCTATACTGTTAGCACTCCCTGTGTGATTTATCTTGCAGTTGTGGGATTTTTATAGTGCTTATAAGTGCGTAAGATAGAGAATACATAATGAGCAATCAGACCCTTTCCGCTCTTGTGTTTTTCAAATTTTGCCGCTCTAAAAGAGACACCGCCTGTAGTTAATTTTAAAGAGTACGTGGGAAGCGCACCTAAACACAAAGGAAGCACAACCGAACAAAACAAATAAGCAAAAAAGGGAAAAAAATAAATAAAAAATCAACAACACGGCTAAATCAGCAACACAATACAGTCGTGTCACCTTGTAAAATTTCACAGCATACACCCTTTTCATAAATGGCTGCCGATTAAAAATTCTTTTATGTGCATATAAATTGGCCCAACTAGCCTCATACTCATGTTAAGATTTCAAAGGAATTTCTACCCAGAAACGAGGTTAGTTGGGCCAATTTATATGCACATAAAAGAATTTTTAATTGGCAGCCATTTATGAAAAGGGTGTATAATCCAGCATTATAAACAGACTCTAAAATTCATATTCCATATTCGAAAAAAAATAAAAAAATGGAGGAATCCCAATCTTTGGAAGAGTTGCGAAAACAGATCATAGGAATCATTGATATGGATGGATTTTTAATACACAAAAAAATTATCAATATCCTATTTCTTTGACTTTGGTATGTGTTTGTCAGATCTTGATGAAAAGAGTAGAAGACATTGTATGTACCTGAAACATAAAATTCATCGTTTACCTTTTGGTGCACCGCCTAATAGCAACGCTATAAAGCTGACCGAATTAGAGAGAATCGTTCGTAGCTTTTACGATAATTATAAAATTGATTATAAATCAAGAATTGGCTATAAAGGAGGGCATTACGAGGAAGATATCTTAAAGAAACTGGGAATACCATCATTAAACCTGGAGGAACTTGGATGTCCGAGGGCATCAGTCCTCTTCCACAACCTGGTGTGGTTGGAGACATGTAGAAATCATACCACATGGGACAATTTAGCCTGATAACAGACCTACGTTTCGCCCGCCCTAAAATTCGCGGGTCGACGAAGGGCGAAACGTAGGTCTGATGAAAATGTTGTCAAAAGTGCATATAAGTCGACCGTCTGGCGGTCGACAAAGCTGATTGGCTAATTCACAGGGAAATGGGTTGTGATTGGTTGGACGCTAACATGAAAAGATTTGAAAAGATCAGAATATTTTCAACGGTAAATGAACGCATATAAATATGCATAGAGTGTAATATTCTAAATATTTTGTGATGCCGAACGAATATTTTATGATCAGTATCTACCGTCTAAAATTAAAACTAGAGGGGAGTAGATCAGTACGTGTCAAATTCTTCAGCGTTATATCTTTCCGTTGTAATAGACAATACAATATATAATTTTTTGTACACGATCGAAGTTTTGTGATTATAAATCATAGTAAAACTCGGATACAAATATGTGCGCATTCATGATTTACATTTTGATAACATAGCACGTACAAAATATTTTATTTAGATTTTACCATTGTATGGCGATTTCAAAATGTATAAATTGTAAGAGTCGGGATGCAATTCAACAATGGCACATTGGCCATTGCCAAATTTGTGTAAGCAGATTTTATCGCATTTATGGAATGTGTTGAAAATGTTTAATAGTCCCTAATATAACCAAATGTCCCTCTACAGATAGTCGCCAGGATAGTCCCTTTGGGGACTAAGTTTGTCCCTGGATGTCCCTGATGTGGGGAAATGTCCCCATGGGGACATAATTACCAGCAATAGTCCCTAATTTAACCGTATGTCCCTCTAGGGATAGTCCCTTTGGGGACTAAGTTTGTCCCTGGATGTCCCCGATATAGGGGGATGTCCCCATGGTGACATAATTACTGACAATAGTCCCTAATATAGCTAAATATCCCACTAGGGAAAAAAATAAGTCCCCGCAGCTGTAGCATCACACACACAACTTTTATGTTTGAAATCATTTATTAACAAATTTAAAAACCATAAGGCAATGTATTGAAATTATTTACAATCACACGTTTATTATATACAATACGATAGTCCTTCTCATTCCTCGTCTTTACACTTTTCTCCTTAGTGTCCCTTATAATCTTAAATGGAATATTGACACTTATCCTATCTGTGAGATCAGACAACGCTTCTAAACAAACCATATCACACATTAAATTAAAATTAACCTTTTGTGCAGTCCTGTAGTTTATGGTGAACCCTCTAACTTTGCACACTGTTTTGTCTGTGCTCGTCTCGTAGGCGTAGTTTTTAGGACCTCCAGACACAAAGGTGGTAATGTGAGCTCCATCCAATTCATCTGTTAGTTCACCAAGATAGGATCCCGTCGGCGGCTCCCATTCGCCTTCTTTTGA